CTTCATGTAAGATAATCACAATTTTATGCTATTACCTTCGTAAGGATTTTGTGATTTAGATTACAATGGTTATTTAGCAATTAATATATAGATAGATCTATATACAGAGAGAGATTATATATAATATGAGAGTTTGGGCTTGTGGCCAGAAGCCATCTGTCAGACTGAGACCTAAACTGTGTATAGATGCCTCAGGCATCTTTTTGCACGACAAAACAGTTTAGGCATAGATAGGGTGTGGCCTCTTTAGATATAAGTAGCTTCGAGTGGAAAGTGGAACTGAGCCCTAGAGTGTTCTAGAAAGTAATGTTAAAAGACTTGTTTAGGGGCCCTTGGGTGACTGTCAGTTACGTGACCGACTCTTGGTTTCTGCTCAGGTCATGATCTCACGGTTCATGAGTTCCAGCCTTGCATCTGGCTCAGCATCCATGGTTACTCTTGGTTACATGAGTAACATGGTTACATCTCAGGTTACTCTTTTCCTCATTTCTTACATTCATTCCTCAGAGCTCTGTGTTTTCTATCTGTATATACTCTTTAGGTGATCTTATCCAGTCTCTTGACTTTAATACCATATACATGCTAATGTGCCACAAATTTGTATCTTCAACTTGGATTTCAGCCTATATCCAGCTGCCTACTTCACGTTTTTACTCAAATGTTTAATCAAGCATTCAGAATTGAATTCCTGATTTCAGTAATGGCACCTCTATTCTTTCAGTTGCTCAGTCTGAAAACTTAGAGCTATCCTTGACTTTTCTCTCATTCCTAACAAAAATCCAAACATTAGGAAATCTTATTGGTTCCAGATTCATAATAACATCCAGAACCCAGCAAGAGCTGAAATCCTTATGGTGACTGAAGCTCTGTGGAAGAAGCTGAAGTCTTTATGGCTTCAGTGCTCTGCTTGATTTGCCATCCTGCATCCCCAAACTCTTGTTTCTTCATTTCCTTCTCCCTTTTCCTAGTCCTGCCCTCTTAGCTTTTCCTTGAACATTTATTTCTGCCTCAGGGCCTTTATATTCACTACTTTTGTCCTGCATACTTCCCCTAGATGCAGCTCCCCTGGGCTAGCTCCCTCACTTCCTTCAAATGAATCTCTTCAGATGAACCTCCTTTGACCACCCTAACTCAGATTTCAAGCCCTTTCCCAATACTCTGCCTCCCTTCACTGGTGTATATCTCCCCTGACTATATATCCTTATCTTATGTGTTTCTTCTACTGTTTGTTTGGGTCTTGTTCACTGCTGGGTCTCCAGTGCCTAGAACAGTGCCCAGTACATGGTACATGCTCAATAAGTGTTTGCTGACTGAGTGAATGAAGAGTAGCTTCCCTTAGGTAGACAGAAGTCTTAGAAGGTCATTGCAGTGCCCCCTTTACAACTTCTCGTGAGGGTAGATGAATGAAGAAGGAAGAAGGGGAATCAGAACCACATGGGGAAATTACTTCCAAAGTAGAAGTAGCTGCTTCAGCCCACTCTGTTAAAATAGTTTATCCTTCCTGAAAAGTATGAAACTTGTTCTGAAAAAACGTGTTCCTCCCTTCCAGTTAAACGTTTCACTTGGTAAAATTAGTGTATATTTGCACGGAAAGGGGATCTTTGGTGTTCTAAATTCAGGTAAATCCAAAGACAGTGGTGACTGTAGCTACATTAAAAAAAAAAAACTACAGGGGCGCCTGGGTGGCGCAGTCGGTTAAGCGTCCGACTTCAGCCAGGTCACGATCTCGCGGTCCGTGAGTTCGAGCCCCGCGTCGGGCTCTGGGCTGATGGCTCAGAGCCTGGAGCCTCTTTCCGATTCTGTGTCTCCCTCTCTCTCTGCCCCTGCCCCGTTCATGCTCTGTCTCTCTCTGTCCCAAAAATAAATAAACGTTGAAAAAA